CCCCTAAACTAAAAAAAATCAAGTAGGACCTTAAACCTCACAAATTACAACAAATTAACCTTCATTAATAAGTTAACTAATGCGATAGTTAAAAAAAAAAGGGATGACATTAATGAATTGATGTGACAAGTAAATGAAATTAGAAATTAAATGAATAAATGTATTATAAATAAATATATAAATTAGTTATAAATTATTAATATATAAATAAGAAAAGTTAAGAAATGAGAGTTAATTTAGGACATAAAGAGTATAAATAATAAAAAAAACATATATACAATAAGATAAAAGATTGCAATTTAAGATCCATTGAACTTCATCTTATATACGAAAAAAAAAAAAAATCACCTGAATATGAAAAAACAAAAATGTCATTAATAAATATTCATCCATCCCTTATTTATTATTTACGTTTTAGTTTTTTTACACTCAAGACTTAGTAGTTTTTGTTCAGGGCGGACTGAGTAAAAACATTTCCACAAACACCTTTCAACGGTATGTTTTGGCGGGTAATTCAGAAACTAATCTGATAACAGTATTTCAAATGCAATCCAATCTTAACACCTTGCAAAGATAAGAAATGGTGTTTTCTTCATCTTCTGTCGCCATTTCTTCTTGTAGTACTTTCCACGTCCTTCCCTCCGGCGACCCTCCACACAGCCTCCTCCAAAACCACCCATCTCTCTCCCTCCTCTCCAAATGCAAAACCATCAAATCTTTCAAACAAGTCCACTCCCATATTATCAAGACCGGCCTCCACCATTCCCAGTTCGCTCTCACCAAGCTCATCCACTTTTGCGTTGTTACGCCTTTCTGCGATTTACCTTACGCCCTCTCTATTTTCGAATCCACTGAACAACCCAATCACGTGATTTGGAACACAATGATTAGAGGATTCTCAGCGAGTTCATCCCCTGCTTTGGCCGTCAAATTTTATGTTCGCATGATCTTGTCTGGTGTTATGCCCAATTCGTTTACTTTTCCTTTTCTTATAAAATCTTGCACGAAATTTAGGGGTACCAGCGAAGCTGCGCAGATCCATGCTCATGTTTTGAAGCTTGGGCTTGGGTCTGATGCCTTTGTGCACACCTCATTGATTAATATGTATGCACAAATTGGGGATTTGGGTGATGCGCAGTTAGTGTTCGATAAAAGTCCACTTCGGGATGCTGTTTCATATACCGCCTTGATAACCGGTAATGCTTCAAGGGGATATCTGAATAATGCTCGAAAGCTGTTTGATGAAATGCCTGCGAAAGATGTTATCTCGTGGAATGCTATGATTGCAGGCTACGCGCAAATGGGTCGGTATAAGGAGGCATTGGACTTCTTCCAAGAGATGCGTAGAGCCAATGTTATGCCGAATGAAAGCACATTGGTCACTGTTCTTTCAGCTTGTGCTCATTCAGGTTTTCTTGAATTGGGAGAGGAGATCAGAGAATGGATTGAGGAAAATGGACTTAGTTCAAATCTTCATCTTGTTAATGCACTTATTGATATGTACTCAAAGTGTGGTGAGTTGAGCACAGCTCAAGATCTTTTCGTGGGTTTACAACAAAGGAATGTGATTTCATGGAATGTGATCATCGGTGGTTATACTCATATGAGCGAGTACAAAGAAGCCTTAAATCTCTTTCGAAAGATGCTACAATTAAACGTAGAGCCTACTGAGGTCACTTTCTTGAGCATTCTTCCTGCTTGTGCCAGCCTAGGTGCTCTTGATATTGGGAAATGGATTCATGCTTACATAGACAAAAACTTTCAGAATTTGAATAATTCTTCTCTATGGACAAGTCTCATTGATATGTATGCTAAGTGTGGAAGTATAGAGGCTGCAAAACAAGTCTTTAAGAATATGGAAGGTAAAAGTTTAGCCTCATGGAATGCAATGATATCTGGGTTAGCCATGCATGGGCAGGCAGGGCCGGTATTTGAGCTTTTCTCAAGAATGACTAGGGAAGGATTCAAACCTGATGAGATCACATTTGTCGGTCTGTTATCTGCCTGCAGTCATGCTGGTTTGCTTGATACTGGACGCCAATATTTCAATTCAATGATCAAAGACTATAACATTGCCCCAGAATTGCAACACTATGGATGTATGATTGATCTTTTAGGTCGAGCTGGATTGTTTGGTGAAGCCGAATCTTTGATTAAGGACATGTCCATGAACCCAGATTCTGTAATATGGGGATCTTTGCTTGGAGCTTGTAGAGTTCATAGACGTGTTGCATATGCTGAATCTGTGGCTAAGCATCTTTTTGAACTGCAGCCTGAAAATCATGGGGCTTACATCCTCTTGTCAAACATCTATGCAGGAGCTGGTAGATGGGATGATGTAGCAAGAATAAGAACATTACTGAATGACAAAGGAATGAAGAAAGTTCCTGGCTGTAGCTCCATTGAGGTGGATAGTTTTGTTCATGAGTTCCTTGTAGGAGACAGAGTTCATCCACAGAGCAAAGAAATCTATGAGATGCTTGACGAAATAGATGCACGTTTAGAGAAAGCTGGGTTTGTTCCTGATACATCTGAGGTGCTTTACGACATGGATGAAGAGTGGAAAGAAGGTGCCTTGAGTCATCACAGTGAGAAGTTAGCGATTGCTTTTGGATTAATCAGTACTAAGCCGGGGACAACAATCAGAATTGTGAAGAATCTTCGCGTTTGTGGAAATTGCCATTCTGCTACAAAGCTGATATCCAAGATCTTCAACAGGGAAATCATTGCTAGAGACAGGAATCGATTCCACCATTTCAAAGATGGGTTCTGCTCTTGCAAGGACTACTGGTGAAAGCAGAAAATCTTGTCTTGTTTATACATAGATCAGGACTGTATTAATCTGTGTGGCTTTTTAATTGTAAAATTGTGTTCATCAGTTCATAAGTAGCATGAAATGAAAGTTGAAAAAAATTGTGAAAAACACCCATCTTTATGTATATATTTATATAAGATGATGGATTACATTCTAAATAGCTCCTTATATAACACACGGATTATATAAACTAGAAGCAAATCGGTATCCATATAAGCAATCGACCAAATTCCTGCCTCAATATTAGATAGATTAAGTCATGCTTCAATATTAGAAAGATGCTTGAAAGAGTTCTTCCTTGCAGTGGCCAAAACAGTCTTGTCCGCAACAATGAAATATGCAGCCCCGGCTGCTGTGGAGATAATGAGAGCTTGAGCAGTGGGATTCAGATTGGCTCTGGCCCAAGGCAGCATCCTTACACTAGCCAGCTGCATCATTAATCCAACCATAAGATTCAGAGTCTATTCCTTGATCACAATGTTTAGTATTAATAAACTCTATAGAAAAGATAACTTACTGTTGGAATGGCTGCAGCAATGCTTGCAACAACAGCTGCTTTGGCTCCAGCAATTACGCCCTCTGTGAAATTTCATCAAACAGTTAGCAAGGTGATGATAATATTAAGAGAATAACTGAAATCTGAGGGCTTAACATAGAGAAGAGAAAAGCAAGAACTAACCATGAGAATACTTCTTTGCCATGGCCAGCTTCTGGTCAAGTGCAGCCAAGCTAGATCTCTCAAGGACCACATTCTTTGCCATTGTTAAGAAACAGAAACTTCAACCAAAGAAATTGATGCAAATTAAGCAACACAAGTTAAGAGAAGAGAGAGTATTAAGGCTTTTCCTGATGAAGAGTCACTGATATTGTAATGGGTATTTATAAGTAAAATTCTGAAGCGGATGTAGGGGGGTGAGAGTTTGATGGTTTCATTCTAATTCCAACGTCGGAGACACTTGTTTTCACGTTAGTTTCTGTTGAGGTCGGTTGATTCTCTGACTCTGTTCCCAATATGCCACTGGTTTTTAAGAAAAGCTTGGTCCAAAAGCATCGAAGCAGGTGAGTGAGAAACAAGAGAAAAACCTTCACTGAATTTATTAGTTTATTGAAAATTTATCCCATCAGGGCGAATAATTTCAACTATCACATTTACCAACACAAAATTACTATAAATGAAATAATTACCCAAATTTCTGCATACTTTATTATAAAAAATGATTTTTTTAATCTTTACAATAAAGTTACTGTAAAAGTATATTTATTATATGAGAAAAAATTATTTAT